ATTCATACAAGTGGTAGCACTTTAATGAAAACGTGTTAACAACATAATATAATTTATTTATTGAAGTTAGAGCATTAGAAAATAGAGTTCCATTCTCTGCTCATATTTAATTTTTAAATCTGTAAACACATACAATCGATTTTCTTCATTCATACAATCATTTATGGGAGTGCTCTGAAACAGAGTCATTTCTCGAAAAAGTTTTGGAAAATCCCGCGAAGAAAAAAATCTGTATAACTGAGAAACTTTACTGCACATAATATTCAACAAATAATGGTAAATATAAAATCGAGTTGCAGAAGTGAACCTTTTATAAGTTTTTAAACACTGTACAAAACTACTTTCACCTTTAAAATAAAATCATTAGGCAAGAACTAAGTAATTATTAATTTACACGACAACGTTAAGATAAATATAAAAATCTGATGTGTACACCAGATGACTTTCTTGTACGGAATATTGAATTATACGCAATTTTCCTGCATTTCATTTAAACATATTGAAGTAACAGTTAACGAATTTTGAACTAAATCTTCGTCGATAGCGCATAAACCACAACAGAATAAATGCACTTTTTAAAGCTCACTATATTTAATTACCATAGCAACACTTTGGCGCTACGTTCACCTAACAGCGTTGCATCTCATTCATTTTATAACTCAGAGGGCACAAAAATTATATCATCTGAAGAATTACCACATGTTCAATTTAAATACTATAACAAATCTAAAATGATGTATAAAAGAAATTAAACAAATAAAAAAGAAACAGTTTTTCACAGACGATTCAGCGCCGCTTTACCTAATGTGCATGCGCTACTAATTAATTCAGTTTTAACTTAGCGGCAAGGCAAAAATACATAATTCAAAATATTTTCATTAAAAATTGAAAGATATAGAAAAACATAAAACACCAAGTACAGTTAAATATATTAAAAAAACAATTTTTACAATTAAAATCACAGTTTCTAAGCAAAAACAAGCATTTCGGCCAACGGGCAAGAAGGCATATTTTTCGGTGCACATCAGTGAACGTTTACTTTTAGTCTCACTCGGCAAAAAGACTTTTAAGGCGTAGGAACTGCCTTAATTTGTTGTGGACGCTATGGTGAGTCAATATACGAGATAATTTCATAATTTAAATGATAATTCCAGAATGAATTAAGCAGAATTTAATTCACAATAATAAAAGAAGACGTTACTTTGTTGTTGCGAAGCTTAATTTCTCTAGATTGGGAACAAATCCACTATTCTGCTAAATTTCAAATGTAAAGAAATATGGGTGCTATGGTAAACAAATTAGGCTCAGCTGTCACTTAAATAACTTTTAAATCATTGATAATTTTACAACTCTAACATACAGGTTAATTAAAAGCATAAAAAGCTTAATCGGAAGATAAGAACGACATAATTCAATCATTTTTAAAGCTACAAATGCACTCTTTTGCAAAAAAAATTGAAATACCATGAAGGAAGTGGTTGTTTTTGATGAAAATGAATATGTGTATAGCTCATACACAGATAACAAAATGATTAAAAAAATCAAGGTCATAGTACTCGTTCACGGCTCACAATCACCCATTAAGTGATCAAATTAGTAGTTGGTCGAACAGCCCCTGGCGGCAATGCATGCTTGAATTCGTCGAGGCAAGGAGTGGTACAGGTTCCTGAGACACATTCTGCCAGGCATTCATCATTTGTCGCTCCAGATCTGCGATGTTTTGCGGTGCCCGAATCTGGCAGCCTATCATGTCTCAGACATTCTCGATTGGTGAAAGGTCTGGTGACCTTGGTGGCCAAGGAAGAGTATCAACCGCACAGAGACAGTCCAGAGATATCCGAGCAGTATGTGGCCTGGTATTATCTTGTTGGAAAATGGCCCCAGGATGACGTGCCATGAAGGGTAATGCAACCGTCCGCAGGTTGATGTCAACACATCGTTGAGTTGTTAAAGATGTACGGAAGATGACTAAAGATGATCTGCTGTCATAAGAAGTAGCGCACCACACCAGGGGTTATTGGCTGTATGCCTTTGTAAAACAAAGGCTGATTGGAACCGCTGGTCTTGTCCTATCCAGACACGAACACGGTGGTCATCTGCTTCAAGAGTGAAGTGGGATTCATCGCTGAACACTATACAATGGCACTCTGATGGCAGCCATGATTATCGGCTGCGACACCATTCCAGACGACTCCACCTATGTTGTGGGCTCAAAGGCAAACATCTTAAAGGCGTCTGTGAGCGTAATGCCTCTTCAGACAAGCGCCGTGAGAGAGTGGACGGTACTACGGGAGGTATGGAGGTGGCTGTAGTTGTTTAATAGTCGACAACGATACCTTTGGGGCGGTTCGGGCCTGGCGAACAATCATCCTATCTTGCTTCGCATTTGTGCTCCTTGGCCTTCCAGAGCCTTCATTTCGTCGGCAATTTCCTTGTAGCAACCACTGCTGCCAACATCTTTGCACAGCAGTGTCTGTACGCTGCAGGTGACGGACGACCTATTGCTCAATATGACCACCCAGCTTCACGCAACCCTACAACGCGACCACGTTTGAAGTCGTTTAGTTGTCTGTAAAGTCTTCAATATCGTCGTAATGGCATCTTCAGTTGCTTCTTTACGGAATTACAATGCAGCAACAAAAAAAGATAAATTTTTCGCCTGTGTTACTGGTTTTATACTTTGCAAATTGCGCACTAGAAATGCGCGCTATGATCGCAATTCCTCTTCATTTGCCTTGAAACTGATCATTTGCATGTTTGATCAACATGGGTTTGCATACCAAATTTCCTCACGATCACAAATATCCTTGGCGCTTCGATTTTTTTTTTTTTTTTTTTGCAAAAGAATGACATATATTTTCTATATACATATATTTATATGTGTATACTTTTTTTTGCAAAAGAATGACATATATTTTCTATTTACATATATTTATATGTGTATACTTTTGGTGGGGCCGATTCCAATCAAAATGCGAGATGCACATCTACATGTTATAACAGTCCTATATACAAAATTTCAATATTGTGAGGCTACTCGTATTTGAGTTATGCGAGATACATGCATACATGCGTATGTACGTACGCACTTACAGATGCCGCTAAAAAAAACTCTTCAGAATCCATTTTAAACAAGTTTTGTAATTTTTTGGGGAAAAATAATTCTGTCCTTACGTACAGGTGTCACGCAAAAATATCGTTAAGTTGCATTCGATAGCGGTGAAAATGAATATTTCCGTTGAAATATGATGGCTGAAATTTTTCGCGATTACAATGCTTCCTTTTTACTTCGTACAAGGAAGTAAAAAGACGAAAGATATATAAATGAAATAAATCGTATCTGATAAATAATAGTATCCACGAAATAAATGATACTTGAAAGACGTTCTTAAGAAATTTTTCTCCGTCTCACTTGAAAAATAAGAGGCTGCAGAAAATCTAGGCAAAAAGAGACTTCCCTGAGAAATTTTTCAAGAGATTCTAAGCAAAACAAGAAGATTATGATAGGTTCAGAGACAAGAACTTCCTGAAACTATTCTTAAGAACTTTCAAGAGAAATAAAGGCTTATATCTTTTAGGCAAGTTTCTCCATTGCTTCCAAAACGGTAAGAGATAATGGTGAAACCAGTGTGAATTCCCCGCTGCTTTTAGCCGTACGGATACGTGGGGTTTAGTATACCAGAGAAAGTATAGCTACAGAAGCTCACCGGTACTTCTCACGAAAAGAATATAGAACATGCAGGGAAAAAAAAAACCGTTTTAAAGAACTTCTTTACCATGATGTAAAAGAAATAATAAAATGCAGCAGAGACATAAAAAATTTCCCAGAGGAGTTCTACAGGAATCTTAGATAAATAAGAGGTTGTGGCATGATCAAGAAAAGAAAGGTTTTAGAGCATTTCTTTACTATAATAGATACAAGAGATTACAAGAGATACAAGATGCCCAAGAGATACAAGAGATTACTACAAAGCCAGAAAAGAGACTTTCAAGAGATTTCGCCCGTAAGTCTCCAAGGAATATAAGCGATTTTAGTAGACAGACCCAGAAAGGACTTTCTAGGAAAACTTATTGTTAATCTTTTCAGATGCAAGGGATTATGGGATGCATAGGGAAAAGACTTTCTATAAAAGCTTTTCAAAAGGAATACTAGATTGCAGCAGACTCAGAAGACAAAATATCTTCCTGAAGTAATACTTGAACACTTTCCAAGAGAAATAGAAAATAATCTTAATCTTTAAATCTTCATCTTTGAAAAGGCTGCCATCCTGTCGCAAGAGAAATGATTCATTATAATATCACCTATAAAATTAAGAAATAATGAAATTCAAAGTTAAAAAGGAAATAATAGTACTCAACATATCTAAGAATTTGTGACTGAAAATTCAAATAAAGTGCTTTGTTCTTCTACTCACCACCCCACCCCAAAAGATTGTTAGAATGCAATACAGCATGGGTATGTAATTATCACGCTTAGTGATCACTGGAAGATCCATGGTTCGAATACTTTCAAAAGCGCAGTTGATTTTTCATGTTTTCTGGCTTCGAAAATCTGTACGCTCTCTACAGATAACCGTTAAATTCTTGATAATAATCATAAGGATATATTTGACTTTCCATTTGTTTATATGATGTATATTAGAAAATATCACTTTTTATTAAAAACACCAGTTTCTAATTCCTTTGTAGCAACATATTTTCATTTAATTAGTGAAAGAAATAAGCTTACATGGAATGGTTTGAAGTAGAAAGTTTACTTCATAAGCAGTCTTTGTATTTCTTGTCAAGAAATCAGTTTAATAAACTGGAGTTTAATTCATAGTTTAGTTTGATAAACTGAGGCTGTCTTAAAACAATGCGCTTAGTTTGTGACTGAATTTAAAGAATAAGGTTTGTTTCGTTGTAGGGTAATTTCGAGTTTTCGAAGACGTTATGCTGTGTAAACTTTGTTCGATCCTAAAATGAAAAAAAAAAAAAAAAAAAAAAAATCAAAGTCCTACCTTCACATTCTCTTCGAGCACTGAGAGTGTATCCGCGAGGACATTCACATACGTAGCCACCAGGTCGATTCCGACATGTCTGTTGAGGGCCACATTCATCGATCCTTCTGGCACATTCGTCCACATCTAAAGAACAATTAATTATTTTTAACAATTAAGTGAGAAATACAATATCCATTTGTATATAAGACCATTCCTTTATTTAATAGTTAAAGACCTTACAAACCGTTTTATTCTCGTCGTTATTATACTATTTTTTCTTCTATTCCATTTTTATTCTATGAATAGCAAAACATCCACGCTTCGCGCGAGAGGACGAAAAGCACTTTTCATAACGAGTGATTCGCATAACAAACAAAACAGAAATGTAAAAAAATGTCTTCCTTAACGACGGCGTTTTGGGTGACCTTGGAGATATCATGACGTCACATGCAGAATCTTGCCTGCATCTCGGCTATTAGTCTGAGTTTAGTGCTCGTTCAGATAGCATCTTATTGTCTCTTGTGAAGTTTTAACAGAAGAATTGATATTCGCAGCGTTGCAAGGGACGGAGAAGCAGCAAGCTCAGATATAAAGGTAGACAGGAATTTCATCCATGTATTCAAGAAACTTTGTGAATTCTGAGGGTTTATCTGCCACAGAAGGTGTCTGACTGGGATAAGATAGGTCTCTTCTGGAAAAAGATGTCGAAGATAAATTACAGCAGAGAAGAGGCATTTCCAGTCTACAAGGCAATGGAAGACCGTCTTACGTTACTGTTTTGGGCAAACGCAAGTCTCGAATTAAAAATTAAAAATGTTGCTCGTTTACCATTCGGACAACCCACGAACCTTCAGGAAGTATAAATTCCAGAAGAGCAGGCTAAATATCATGTAGAGGTCCGACAACAAGAACTTGGATGAAATGTCAGGATTTTATGGATTGGATCAATGAAATGCTTGTATCTTGGTCTGCAAAAAATATCTGCTTGAGATGAATTTTCCACTCCGTGCCTTGCTTGCTGTCGGCAACGCTCCTGCAAACCCTTCAGATCTAGAAGATGACTTTCTTGAAGAATTAAATTCATGAAGATCCAGTTCTTGCATCCGAACACCAGTCATTTACACCAATCCATGGATAAAGACGTCATATCAAATTAAAAAAAAAACTTTATGATAAAGCGCTTTTCCAGCGTTGGTTTGAGACAGTTGAAGAACACTCTCAGAGAGTTTTGGAAAGACCCATTTTCACATCGTTGCCTATCTGAAGCTCATCCACAAGCCATGGGATGAAGTGACCAAGAGAACCATTATTTCTACATGGACAAAGATTTGGCCGGACAGCGTTGTCGAACACGACTCCGAGGTGTGTGAACAAGTGCTTTTGTAGTCTGAAATCGAACCAAGATTATGGGGCTAGAGGGAGACAGCAACGACATTGATGAGCTAGTTAAAGAGCATGACCAGAAACTGCATTCTGTGTCACAGGAAGAGATGTTGTCAGGGCAGGAGGAGATAACAGCTTCATCAAAACAACAACCTTTCAGAGAAATTAGGGAGATACTAAAAGTACGGGAAAATGTTGCATCGTACATTGAAAAGTAGCACCAATAGCTATGTGTGCTATAAATTTATTTAATGATAATGCTGGGCTCAGTTTCGGCAACTTTTGAAACGCAAGCAAAACCAAATGTCTCTATGCAACTTTCTTGTAAAAAATAATGTATTATAAATAATAAAGTACATTAGTATAAATTTGTTTGAGTATTGTTTTTGGAATGGAACACATTATCATGTTTTACGCTGATTCGTACGGGAAACACTGATTCGCATCATAAGTAAGATTCAGGAACAAATTATACGAAGTTCTGTTGTAATTGAGAAAGACTCTCACCTCTCGAAAAAAGGAGGATTTTCTCGACTCTATAAAACTTAGCAAATAAGGTGGCGTCATATCACTCTTCTTTTAGGGAAAGTCGTGTGATCACTAATAGAGAGCTCGCATAACGATTTTGTAGTTATAGCTGGCATAAATCACATTTCATTTCTAGGCAATCGGTCCTTGCTACGTCAGGAAAGAGGATATAAGGTTTTTACTTGAATGTTTTTTGAACTTTTCAACTTTTCACCAAACTGGTATAAGAATTGATTAGTCACAACGCTAACTGACATATGGTTTTAACGATTTAGCTGTCATTAACTGCACTTTCACAAACGCGCAATTTCACCTGTCCTGATTAGCTAAGGCTCAAATCCTGTTCCACAGATGTGAATGAAGTTAATGGCTTTTACGTCATATGACTATGGCAAATGCGACAGCTAAGGAACGAAATATCTGCAGGCAATGTTCCATGTTTGAATTTCAAAATATTGGACCTATAATGATCGAAAAAAAAATAACATCCTGTGTAAAAATCGCCAAATGCTATTATGGGAGACTATGTCGGAGATTAGAAACATGTATTCTGAGGAATTTTTTCCAACACAATTGATGTTAAAAGAATTGCAATTTCTTGATAGTACAAGTGCTTGCCGAAGATATGTATGAAAATGCATAAAAATTGCATCAATAACATATAAAAAAATGAAACTGTACTTCAACAATTTGTTCAGAAATATGTATGGATCTATTTGCAGAAGCTCTGTGTCAAATTTCGTAGCTTTGTGGTTCCTGCTTTTAAATTACGTCACACAAACATTCTTGGACTTCTTTTATGAACTAAGAATTCAAAGTAGCGGCTGCGGTTTTTTGGAGCTTAAACCAACTTTACAATAAGAGGAAAGCAGTAAATGATGTAGTACCTCCCACGGAAATTGTAATACTTAGGCGAAACATGACAGGTGGAGTTGAAAACAGACTTTTTCCATGCCTGCGATAGAATTTAAAGGAAGCTAAGTTATTAACGAGATTGCTGTGCATTAAAATTCTTAAAAGTAATTGCAACTTAGAACAGCATTAGAACGAAAAATTTGATTTCTATCTCAACAGTGGGATGCTTTTGAAAAACATTCAGACTTTTCTGCTTACATACCTGATAACTTTTATCCTGAAAAATAAGTGCATTTTTCGTGTCTATCTAAAGCCATATTTACGATACATTTTATAAATGCCTCGTGAATGCTGATCCTGTTTTACGTCTTTTATAACTGAAAACGAAAACTTAAATTTTATTGGCAGGCTTAAAAGCAATTAGAAAACTATATTATGCTTGTTATCCACCCATTTATAAAGAGTTTTTTCATTACTAAATTTTCTTGCAATTCCTTGCAGAACAATAGGGCTGCTGGCAATCCTGGCTGAGAAATCTTGAACCAGAAATTTCCTAAATATGGATATTTTTCTAAGAACTCCTATGGGTGAAAAAGTTGAGAAACACTTCTAAATACGATTGTGATTTTTATTTTGATTAAAATTATTGTTGTTTTTATAAAGTTTTATGTTTTAAAGCAAATGGCAACATACCGGTATGAGAATCAAAAGAGAAAAGCTATAGCAAAGGTATGTAAATATCTTAGCAGTAGAAATCTATTTTATTAATTATGCTGTAGGTGTAAATATTAAAAACATTATTATGAAAAAATTAATATCTAAAAAATAATAACTAAACAAAAGCAGTGGAATCGTGGTATTGAAGCAGCATCATGCAACCAACAGTATCTTAGTAAGGATGTTGTTGACATAAAATATTTTCAAAATATTTGTAAAAAGCGGACATATTTTTTATGGCCAACCTTTTTTCGGTCATAAGTAATGTATTATAATTAGGATGTCTATACACCTGAAATCGATATGCTTTGCAGATATTTTCTCAAACTGTTTTTTAGTTACAAGTTTTGTAAAATGTTAATTACGCACCAACACACTGATTTCCGAGATCATTCAACTCAAAACCAGGTCCGCAACTGTGTATGTTCCTGCACATATACGATCCTACTGTATTCAAACATCGTTGATTGGGTCGACAGGCATCACTACGGGCACATTCGTTGATATCTGAAATTAAAATACTTAAAAGCATTTTTTGTGTTGCTGATTGATAGAATCATTATAATTAGAATCAAAACATAGCAAAATTAGGGTATATCAAACATAAATATCTAATTAATTACTGGAAACATTGCTTACCTATTTTTGATCATAATATTAAATTACTTACTTACCTACTGATTTAAAAGTTGATAAATAATTTAATTGGCTATTTAGCAAACATCCTAAGCGGTCTGAAACAAATTTTGAAAATTCATTTGTCTCGTTATTATTATATCTGACAAATTCTAGTTCAGTGGGATTTTAGTATATAGCATAGTTATTTTATTATGGAATTTTAAAGTATAATTTTATTATATTTATTGTACCTAGCGTAAGTCAAACTATTAATTCTCAGAGGTTTGTCTCAAATTGGAGGAAATCAATAGTTCTTATATTGCTGGACTTTCTGGGACAAACATACAGTTTTCAATAAAGGATTGCCAATATTTTAAGGTTTGGTTTCCTTTTATTCAGTGCAATTTTAGCTTCGAGGGAAAATGGAGAAAATAGTAGACTTTGAGCCGAAATTTCTGTCCCCCCCACACAGGAGGGGAAAGCGAAGAAGGTTGCAAGTAAATAAACGCGCAACTTGTCCGCCTTATTCTGGCCTAAACATTTTCATAAGTTCGATGTCTTTAACTGGCTCAAATTTGGCGACCGTTTTCCAAATTATCATACTAATTAATTTCACTAACTTCCACGCAGCAGACTACTTAACGTATTTTTCTTCTGTTCGATCATATTTTAAACGAAATTACTCAGCAATTAATTTTGATTTGATCATGTTTAAGAACTAAGTATTGGAATAAACTTGAATTGGAAACACTAAAAATGTTCTTCTTTGAAACTCTGATTTAAAAATAATCCAGACAAATTAAGTTAAGGAAAACTAAAATGCAGGAATTTATAATTATCTCATTTCCTTAATAAGTACGGAGAGTAATTAGTTTATTTAGCTAGACTGACATTTCTGTCTTCGAAATACTATTTAAAAACAGTAAGACCATATTTTATCCTTGGAAGACGGCATTCTCATTTTAATTCACCGTTATTTAATAAAATTTTATTTTAATGGCAGAAAATCTGAAAATCGTTTTACTCATAAGTGCTATGACTTCTAATTGTTATTAAAAAGGAAATGAACCAACAAGCTTAACTTGTATGCTTGTTGGTTCAGAAAAACAATTAGAAAATAGAAGAAAAACAAAACAAACATAATAGAAGAAAAACAAATGGCTGCATTCTGATCTTTTAGCTCAATCTCGTATTTGATATTTCAGGTTTGGGCACAGAAATTGCAATCAGTATTAATGAATAGTTAAAGCTTTGACACTGAAAATAGTTAAATGAAAAGATTTCTAAACCTAAACTTTGGAAGATTGAAGCAATTTATCTCGAGAAAAGGAAATTATATATGAAATGTAAATATATACGCACACACACACAAAAATCATTAATTAATTATGCAAAGCATTTCAATAAAATGGGAAAGCCACTCAAAAGACTGAGTTGTAAGTTAATACAAATATGTTTCTAAGGGATAATATCGACTTATCCTTTTGCACATTTTGCAACAGCAATGTTTCCAAAACTGCATTTCAGTTTATTAAAATTTTCATCATTTCGGAAAATGCGAAGTTCTTGAATTTAGCTGGTTGCATAGGAGTTTTTTCCATGTGTAACATGAATGGAAGCCAGTTTCCCTTACAAGTTCTTCCAGTAAGGCATTCTTCATTTGGGCAAATAGCGCTTTGGCATAAGCTGTTAAACAAATAAACTGAGAATGCAAAGCACTAATAAGTACTGATCATATCATAATTTGTTATGGTATGGTCGGAAGTTTTATAATTCACAAAAACTTACTCCAGCAAACTGGAGAGCCGCATGCGGCTCACTTCTCAATTAAGCAGTAGTTTTATTTATGAAGTATATAATTAAAATTTAACGAAAATATCTTCGCGCTACGACTCTTGTTATGCATTAGTAACGTAATTTTTTGATAACATTATTGTGCGTATAATAATTTCAAAATGCATATAGCATGTTAAATAAAGTTAAAGTAATAAAAAGAAAGACAAAAAATTTTGCTTCTGGACTTTGGCGGAATTTTTTTTGGAATAGACTTTAACTATCGAAGCAGCATAAAAGAAATATACATTGGGAAATATACTCTACCAATATATCTTACTGAATAATATCATGGAAATAATAGAAGAAAAACATCGTCTAAGAAAGGCAAGATAATCATGTAATAAATACAAAATAATCATGTATTCCAGACATTGCACTACCAAGAAATAGAAAAATATAAAAATGAATATCAAACTTATTGCAAAGAATTTGGAAGATTTATGAAGAATCGTTTTCCAGATTACTTGATACAGATTTGGATTTCAAATCAGAAATTCTATAAAGCCAAGTCGTAAATAGAAATCGTCGTAAAGCTTTAGATATTTCATTATCACACAATAGGGAAGATTTAGTTATTTTTAATGAATACAAAATAATTTTTTGATATACGAAGAAGGCGGAATACAAGAAGAATCTCAAACTCATTGTGATGGTCCTTGAAAAGAAAAAAAAATAGGCTAAAATTATGAGAAGGTATACTTAAAATTTCATATTTTCTGTATATAATTTATCAAGATAAAGTGTATATATTTTAGGTATAATATATTTATATAGTATTTATAACTATATGTATTTAAACTCTTAGACAAAATAGGAAACGTTCATATCCCATTTTTATCATATTTTTAATGTAATTTCATGACGTTAATTATATCTTGTTAAATTCTTTCCATTTCATTGCAACATTGTAATAAATATAATCAGCTCTTCATGACCGTCCTATATAATCAAGTTGGTATCTTCTCGTTGGTTTGCTTGTAAGTGTAAATAAAAATACTTTTAATAAGTTTGAATTTATTTAATTTTACTGTTTTTTCATTAATATAGCGCTTACTTTTGATTAATCCATATTTTATTTAAAGGTTTTGGATGAATTCGACTAAATAATTAATGATTAAGATTTCCTGTTTTTTTTTGTTTTTTTTTTAAACGGAGATCTGTCTGAGAGTCAGATTAGAGTTTAGAATGTCTAGCTTTGACGATTTGCCTGTCTGAAAAATATCCTAAAGTAAAGAACGGATAATAAATTGCCGAAGGTTTTGGCTTCTATGTTTCAAAATATAAAAGCATTCATTCAGTTTATATTAACCTTGTATATTTTGGTATAAAGTTTCTAAGCATTAAACATAAAAAATTTGATTGATTTAAGTCAAAATTTAAAATAATTCTTAGTTTTTACGTGATTTATTTTAGTTGAATTATAGTTTTATAAAATTATTAATGTTGCATGTATATAGGAATTGAACTAATATATAATACTTAAGTTAAATGTAACAGATCTTCCCTTGTTTGGAAATCATACATTCTGAAAGATATTGACCCAAAAGAAGGACAAAAACTTGTCGATACCATGAAAGATAGATCGTGCAAATTCTCACCTACGCAATTTCCCGCATCGTCATGTTCCATCCCTTTACCACAAATGACCACTTTACAAGTCCCATCGGCGAGCAGCTTCTGTCCCAGAGGACACTTGATTCTGTCACAGCGAAAAGATCCCAACTTGTTTCGACACTCAAAACCTGGTCCACAGTTGTGGGTGCCCAACTCACATTCGTCATCATCTACAAAAGGAGAATAGAAATCACATTACGAAAATGTATTCGGATCTGAAAGAGAAATTTAAGTCAAAGAGCTAACCTTCGCAGTCTCCAGAAGCTGCATTGAGCGTGTAGCCTGTGCCACAGCTGGTAATCCTCACGCAAGTGAAGGAGCCGATGGTGTTGTCACACCGCTGGCTGACGCCGCACGAATGCAGTCCTAACTGACATTCGTTCACATCTGCAATGAAATATGTAATAGACTAAAACTTATTTAAAAATGCTAATAATGAAATTTAAAATGTTTTATTTGGGATACACAGAAGTTAACGCTATGTCTAGTCGAAAAATTAATCATAATTATTTGACTAGACCAGCGGTTCTCAACCTTTTGACTAACGCGTATCATCTAGTACCACAATCACTCTTGAACAAAGCTCTGATCGCGTAAATTTACAAATGTTACAGAAACTCAATCAGGATGTTGGGGTTTTAATTTTTGAATTTAATAGTTAAAAATACTTTGATTTTTTGCGTACCACTTATTTTTCTCTTGCGTACCACCAGTTGAGAAACCCTGGAGTAGACTATTGCATTTATTAGAAATAAAAAGAACTTGAACAAAATAATGCTGACAAGAACATTTTGGATTTTTGTCGGATTTACTTGATTTACTTACAAATGGGTTAACAAGATTGAGCGAAAACCTAAACAGATACTGTTTGAAAAACGACTAATCTGTTATTAGAATTTTCAAATCAGGAAAAACAAATATCTCTTCTTGCCTAAGGTTGTTCGGCCCATGATTGAATAGACAAGAGAGCTGAGTTACCCGTATTGAATTCTGGCAACTTAATGGTCTACCTGCATGATGATATTCATGCTTATTCCAAAAATATTCTGAATATGAGCCATATTTTCTTAGAACGTCTCCTAAGGAGGCATTGGTAGTTCATTCTCCAGTGTTTCGCTACGGGATTATCAGAAGTATTCGAGGATTCTCAGTCTTCTTTGCCTAAGTAAGGCTAAGTGAAATAGTTATTTGTCTGATGATTTGCCTGTCTGCAAAATACACTCATGTCCATAAATTAAGGATAATGCAAAATCAGGCAAAGGAAGAGTTAGAAGCAGAACAAATTTGACTTATTTTGTAAAGCTTATTGATTAAACAAAAGGTAAAGAGCAAAAAAAAGATACTATATGTTTGATATTATTGTAAGGATCTTAAGTTTTACTAACGTTTATTTTATTTTAAGTCTTTACTATCACTTCTTATTTTCTACTTCCGGCAAGAATTATAAGCGTGAAGGTTTTTATGCAAAGTTTGTCTGGCGAACGCCAAGTATTTATGTGTGGCCTTTTTGCCAAGCGAGAGAGGAAGCAGTAAGTCAACGAAGGCCGCTTACCTTAGAAGTTACGCAGTTGCTGTTTGCCTTCCAGGCCAGAGGTTTTAATCCTCTTGATAAATTAAACGTATTGTAGTGTTCACAGTCTCTGTGCTACATACGCTTCCTGTTATTATAAGGCCAATCTTCCACGTGTATTATTCTAAAGTTAAATTAGAGTTTAGTTTTATTTTTATACTTTTACGTTAGACCCCGAGTGGCGGGTCATTGTATTCCGAAGTACGGAAGTTATTGTATATAGAGAAAAATAAAGGGTTTTGTATACCCTTCGTCTGTATCCTGTCTACTTACTACAATTAGTGAACATAGCTTTAGTAAGCTCTCTGTTCCTAGTCAGGTCCTTGTATGTTCCCGAAGAAGGTTAGAAGGAACATTGAACCTGATAGTGGCGCCCAACGAAGAAGAATAACCATGGCCGAGTTTCAAGAAGAACCTGTGCTGCCTGCAGAAACGGCTCAGAATCCAGAAATGCCAGCTGCCGCCCTGGAAGGATTTGGTTACATCGTCCAGACCATGCGCGCTTCGATGAAACCAGAAGCAACATTTAATGGAAACTCACCGGTAACCAGTTTTTTGGAAAAATTGGATGACCACTTCATGCTCTACCCCGTGCACGAGTTTCAAAAAGTTACCTTAGCTACCAGCGCTTTGAGGGGCCAAGCGCTTAACTGGTTCAAATGTATCGGCAGAAGTCTCTTGGGTCAAGCAGGAAGTCCCACCTATACTTACGAAAATTTCAAGACTGCCCTACTAAAAGCCTTCCCTGTTGTAAGGGATCGTGCGAAATTAGAAACGGAACTTTTCAGTATATATCAACAAAGAATCGAAAACCTCTCGAGCTTTATTTTAAGAAAAATTCACGTTTTCAAGCTCTTGTATGGAAACCGTCCGGATCCTGAAATAATTCAAGTGATTTTGCCGAGGTTACTGCCCCAAGTGCAAGACTTTATTGAATTAAGAAATCCGACTACACTGGAAAAGTTATTTGAGCTAGCAATCCAGTTTGAAAGTAGAAGAACGGCGGACGTCGAAAGAAGACGCCAATATCAACAGCGAAACCAATTTGGTACGCCAAGACTACAGCAAACTCAAGCACACGGCTACGGAGGAGAAAAAGCGAATCAGTGGGCAAGGAAACCCGAGCATTCAAAAACAGCCGGCGAACGTCGACAGTTCAATAGCAACCCAGGAAAAAAGTCTCAAGGCCAGGGGAAAAAGAAGGAAAGCACGGAAAGGAAAAAATAATTTAAACTAAAACGGATTTCTGCTGACGAGAGGGTGCGGAAATCCGAAGGCCACGAAAACCCCTCTTCCTACAAGTTAAATACAGTAATGGTGAAAAATTTGACTCTTCCGAAGATTGAAGTCTTGGTGAATAATATCCCAGCCACCGCACTCCTGGATACCGGCGCGCAGTGTTCCTGTGTGGCAGAGAGTTTTTTAGAGAAAGTATTTTCGCAAATACCGCATATATAATGCGGATAATACGACAGTATTAGCGGCGCAAGGAGAAAAATGTAAGTGCGTAGGTAAAGTACCTTTGTATATCCGTATCAAGGACGAACAAGTAAAGGTGATGTTTTTTATAGTAAAGAATCTGCAAGCACATTTAATCTTAGGAATAGACTTTCTTTCAGACGCACAAGCTACACTGGATTTTAATGAAGCGTCCCTTAAGCTGACAATGAAACCAGTGCGTGTAGAAAAGGTTGAACCGCCAAGGTTAAATCTTGACCACCTGCCTAATGACGAGCAAGATAGAATCCGACAAGTGGTAAGTGAATTTGCTTCGTTATTTAGTGATATTCCAGGATTTACTCAGGTTACTAACCATAGTATTGACACCGGAGATGCATTGCCAGTTCGTCAAAAACCATACCGGTATGATAAGAATAAGGAAAAAATTATAGAATGGCATATTACCGATATGCTACGTAAAAAGATCATAACGCCCATCTCAAGTAGTTATGCTAGCCCGGTGGTTTTATGTAAGAAAAATAATGATTATCCTTTGGAGCATCCAAAAAGGTGGGAGATTCGCTATTGATTACCGTAAATTAAATTCCATAACGAAATATCCGGTATATCCGTTACCGATCATAGAAGAAATTTTAAGGAACATAAAATCAACCAAATTTATGACGACTTTAGACTTAACGAACTGGTTATTTTCAAATAGGGGTGAGGCCTGAGGACGTGCCTAAGACTGCTTTTATAACCAAGTCTGGCACTTATGCATTTTTGCGTATGCCGTTTGGCCTTTCAGGGGCCCCAGCAACATTTCAGCGATGCATGGACATTGTGTTAAGACCTGTTCTTGGAAAGTCCACATTTATCTATTTAGACGATATCATTATTACTAGTGATAATCTCTCGACCAACATGTACAGGATTTAAGACAGGTGTTTTCTTTATTAAATGAGGCCGGTCTAAAAGTTAATGTCGAAAAGTGCAAATTTGCAGCCCCTGAATTAAAATATTTAGGTTACAAAATATCTCAAAAAGGGATCGAGACAGATGAATCAAAAATAATCGCTGTACAAAAGTATCCGACTCCAAACACGGCAAAGAAGCTCTCTTCTTTTCTAGGACTTTGTTCATATTATAGGTCCTTTATAAAAGATTTTGCGGCTATCGCTGAGCCATTGTTAAAATTAAAAAGGAAAAAGGCAAGATTCTCGTGGACGGCCGAAGCCAATAGTGCTTTCGAAAAATTAAAACAAGCATTAACGCAAGCCCCTGTGTTGAAATTTCCTGAAAAGGATGAAAATTTAGAAATTTCAGCGGATGCTTCGGATTATGCGGTAGGAGCGGTACTTTCGCAAAATCAGCAGCCCGTGGCATTTTTTAGCCGAACTTTAAATCAAACACAAAGAAACTATTCCGCGACCGAGAGAGAGAGAGAGAGGCACTTGCAGTTCTGTTAGCAGTGCAAAAGTTCCGAGTCTATTTTGGAAAGGCGCCGATAACAGTATACTCTGATCATGCGGCGGTAACTAGATTGTACTCAGGGAAAAATTTATCCCCAAGGTTAATAAGATGGGCACTCAAGCTGCAAGAATATAATCTGGTAATCAAGCATACCCCCGGAAAGGAAAATATCGTAGCAGATGCCCTATCACGAATTAAATTAGACGAACAGGGTAATACCGTAAAAGTTGCAATGCTTACAGCGTGTACAATAAATTCCCGAGAGAAACTGTAATAACCGAACTGGGTAAGGATCCTGAGTTTGGAAGTATTTATGAGTATTTGAAGGATCCTGAAAATTTTAGCCACCAAGATATTGTGGCGATAAGAAATAGGGCGGCCCATTACGAACTAATAGATGGTCTATTATTCTATACAAAAACTACGAATTCCAACAACGAATTTCGACCTGTTATCCCAGCTAGTCTTAGATTAAATATCCTGCAGGAGCTCCATGACAGCCCTTTAGCTTCTCATGCTGGTATTCGAAAAAAAACTATCCAACGCGTACGCGAGGCAGTCTACTTTCCTGAACTGCAAAAGTTAACAAGGGCGTATGTCCAGTCCTGCCCAACATGTCAAGCCAGTTAATTATATTAATTTCCGCCCGGCCGGGTTTCTAAATAGTATTAAATCCGAATTTCCAAATGAAATAATTGGCATCGATTTATTGGGCCCTTTCCCAAAAAGTCAGTTAAATAAAAGTCGCTATCTCCTTGTTATGGTTGATCATTTTAGTAAATGGACCGAAATTGTTCCCTTAAAACGAGCCTCCGCGAAATTAGTTACTGATTCTATTTTAAATAAATATATTTTAAAATACGGGGCGCCCCTAAAAGTTATATCGGATAATGGTCCTCAATTTGTAAGTAATATATTTGAAGACATGTGCCAAAAACTGGGCATACGTCATTTAAAAATGGTCCCGTATCGGCCGCAATCAAATATAGCGGAACGGGTCAACAGAAATATAGTGAAAATTATCCGTAGTTATGTTAAAAATTTTCATAAAAGCTGGGATAACTATGTCAATGAATTTGCTTTCGCCCTTAGGACCGCAAAACATGATACAACGGGCAAAACTCCTGCTGAGTTATTTCTAGGCAGAAAGATTATAACACCGTTAGATAAATTATTTTATGTGCAACAAAGAGCCCCAGAATTTAAAATGGGTGATATAGAAAAACTAATAAAAGAAGCAAAAAAGAATACGGAAGTAGCACAAAGAAAACAGAAGTTATATTATGATTTGAAACGACGGGGAGTAACTTATAAAGTAGGGGATGAAGTTTTAAAAATTAAGCATTCACTTTCTTCAGCACCAGAAGATAAAACTGCCAAATTTTTTCCACGATTTGAAGGACCATATGTTATAGAAAAAATAACTCACGCTGTTGTAGTGTTAAAAGCAAGTGGTGAAACCTGTTCCGCAAACATTGATCAAATCAAGCCCTACTTCGATCGTAATAAAATGCAAATCTTTTCAGATCTTTTGCAGGATCCGGCACGGCAGACACCGCAGGTACAAGTTCCAGAGGTGGGAAAACGACAAGTACAAGGGCAAGCCAATGAGAGACAGAAGCAAGTGAAAAGAAAATTGCCCCGCGGAAAAATTGAAGGTAACAAGAAAAAGAAGCCGTTCCACCGTCCAGAAAACAGAGTTCACGAACACCCCCAGAATGAAGAAGGGAGAAGGACGACGTATGTGAAGAGGACCAGGAGAAATGACGGCAACTATAACCCGGCTTTAAAACGGAAGATCTACTCATCCGACAGAACTCTCCGCAGCAAAAGTCGCCGAACTGCGGAAGGGCCATCAGCGGCGGAGGAAAAAGTACAAGGAAAATTTGAACGGCCAACAACGAGGTCCAAGCAGGATCACGACAGAAGTTTCCCGGTTCCGCCAAGACCAGCTGCCATCAAACGGCCAAGACCACAAGCAGAGGAGAAAAGGAAAGTATTCAAGGGTGGCCGTACTGGTGAAAAAAGGAAGCTTCCAGAGGAAAGCACTGAAGGGCGAGCCCGTACAAGAAGGAGGATAAACCAAGCTACTATCTGCAGTACCTTTAAAGACTGGGCCCAGAAAAGGATGTCCGAATATTACAAAGATAAGTAAAATTTTATGTTACTTTGCAAACTTAAGTTAATCTTTCATTCTTACTGCAAGTGGCAGATTTCAAGAAGTTTTACCTCATGCGAGGTCTACCTTTATCGCCAAAAGGGCGAGAAATGAGTTGTGACCGATTTTCTTATTATGTTTTTCAATTACTCGCGCGTAAAACTAAAGTTGATGTATAATAGCGTTGTGTAAAGACTTAAATATTGTAAAAAGTTATTGTATAAATTTTATTTAAAACATTCTAGCAAGAAAGAAGTTTTAGTCTGAAAGACTTTTTGAAATGTATTATTTCAATGTAGAAAGAATTGGCACTTGCTTTGAAAAGAATAGAAGTTAACAATGTACTACTAATGTATGTTTTCAAATGTGTAAAATTAACGGCATGTTGATGTGAACTGTTATTTTAAATGTTTAGAAATACCGTGATATGGTAAAAGTGAAAGTAATGTTAAAAATTTGTTATTCGTGTGACTGTAAAGATTAAATCATGGCGAATATGTGTTAAAGGTTGAATGATGTAGTTAGGCTCTCTGACGCTACACTTTAGAGTTAGCCACTTTTAGAATAGTACCTCAGGGTTTAGAGTTGAAATTAGGGTGTGTTAAGAGGTCTCGTTATGTTGAATTTTAACACGTTAGTGTTTTGATTGTAGGAGGAAGTGTGGCACACGTAGACAGAAACACATTCGTGTTTGGTGTTCTTTTACAACACATGTCAGAGAGCACGGGGGGAGAGATAATTAAAATAGTCATGAATGAAATAAGAATGTTAAGAGCAGTATAATTCTATATGTTACTTGCCATGTCATTGTGTAACATTTCATTAAACTAGTTTTCCTTCCAGATCTCTGGAAGGAACCAGAATTGAATAAAAGCTCCTGTTTAGATGCAGTACAGATGAAAAAAAGATTGTTGTATATCCTGGGAGCTGCTATTGTAACAAATTTCTTTCTTTTAAATTTTCTAGTTTCTAGCGAAGTTATGTTTGTAAAAGATTGGCCTCGCGTTAGATTCTAGAGCTAAAAGTTTTCAACAAGGTCGTTTTAGACCTCAGTTTCAAACTAATTAACTCTGGCGGGAAGTATGTAAGGATCTTAAGTTTTACTAACGTTTATTTTATTTTAAATCTTTACTATCACTTCTTATTTTCTACTTCCGGCCAGAATTATAAGCGTGAAGGTTTTTATGCAAAGTTTGTCTGGCGAACGCCAAGTATTTAAGTGTGGCCTTTTTGCCAAGCGAGAGAGAGGAAGCAGTGAGTTCGAAGCAGGCCGCTTACCTTAGAAGTTACGCAGTTGCTGTTTGCCTTCCAGGCCAGAGGTTTTAATCCTCTTGATAAATTAAAACGTATTGTAGTGTTCACAGTCTCTGTGCTACATACGCTTCCTGTTATTATAAGGCCAATCTTCCACGTGTATTATTCTAAAGTTAAATTAGAGTTTAGTTTTATTTTTATACTTTTACGTTAGACCCCGAGTGGAGGGTCATTGTATTCCGAAGTACGGAAGTTATTGTATATAGAGAAAAATAAAGGGTTTTGTATACCCTTCGTCTGTATCCTGTCTACTTACTACAATTAGTGAACATAGCTTTAGTAAGCTCTCTGTTCCTAGTCAGGTCCTTGTATGTTCCCGAAGAAGGTTAGAAGGAACATTGAACCTGATATAAAAAAATTAGCGTTTTTCTGGAAATACAAAATCCTTAAAAATCATTTTATTGTAATATTGTTCCCGCGAGCAATCAGTCTAACGCCTAGCGAGTATCAAATTATGATCTGATCTTGGGGGATATTAACCACCAAAAGCAATGCCTCAAGTCCGGAGACATGTTGACGAGGAGGAGGTTGACGGGCTGCAACTCGTCGGCCATGCATGTCCCACACGTGCTCTACTGGATTCAAGTCCGGTGAGAATGCTGGCCAGTCCATACGGGTGATATCCTCCGATTGACGGCATTCGCTTACGATCTTTGCACGGTGAGGAAGGGCGTTGTCATCCATAAACACAAATTGTGCGCCCATGGCGCCCCGAAACAAACGTACATGTTGTTCCAGAATGACGTCCCGATAGATTTGGCTTGTCATGGTACCAATTTGAACATGCAGGTCAGTTCTGGAACCCAGAATAATTCCACCGCAAGCGAGCACTCCTGCACCACCGTAACGGTGTTGTTCAATGATGTATTTTGGTGCTCTCCATATGAAAGTCCGGCGAGAATCAGACTGCAATCTAAACCTGGATTCGTCGGAAAACATCACACAAGCCCACTGTTGCGGTGTCCACGGTGCATGCTCTCTACTCCAGGCTAACCGCAGGCGACAGTGAGTTGCAGTAATTGGAACGCATGTGACAGGTCTACGAGCATATAGACCAATCTGCCCTAAGCGTCTGTACACGGTCTGCCTTGAAATTGTCGTACCAGTTGCTGAAGAGAGCTGATGAGGCAGGTCTGAGGCTGTGCTCCGCCTGTTTCTTTTGGCAGTAACTGCCAAATACCGGTCCTCATTCGGCGTTGTAACTCTGGGGCGACCTGTGCTGTAACGTCTACTCGCATTACCATCATCTTGGAATCGTTGCCAAAGCCTGGAGATGACACTCTGGGCAATTCCAAGTTCGTCTGATACTTCCAAGTGGGTACGCCCACATTCCAGACGGCCGATAATTCTACCACGTAAAAAATCATCCAAATGCGTCTTTTGTGTCATAACTATTCGGTTATTGCACTGAAATGCTTATAAAGCACCTGCGAACAATTTTACTTCTTTGCGTGTATTCCTTATATATCACTTTTACACTCTCTTCATTTTGACGTACCATCGGTGTCATCTGGTTTCTTCCTGAAATTTGCATATGATTCTTGAAGATGTGTGTAGTGATTTTACAGGTGATATATTTATTTTAGAGTTCCATTTCCGCGTGACTTCGAATTATCCTTAATTTATGGACATGAGTCTAATGTGATTGGGATGATTTATAAGATTTATAATGATCGGGATGATTTATAATTAATTTATTCAAACTTGTCTGGGCAAGAGAGATGAATGAATGTCTTTACTTCTTGTTGAATAGTTTCTAAATATTCATATGCAACTGAAATACTGGCATTTAAATTGTTCAAAATATTACAAGTTGTGAATTTCCCAAACAAAGATTTCATTAACTACTTCACTTTCGACTAATTATCCAATTGCTTCAATGGCAATTTCTACAGATATGCTAAACATATCTAATTCAAAGCTCCTGTTACAATATAAAAAAAATCAGATCTTTACTTATTGTGAGATAAAGAATCAAAAACATGACCTTGCACTTGACCCTTCTAAAGGTGAATAAATAAAACACATGAGTATTTGTTTTTATTTCTTTGCGTTTTTTAAGACTCAAGTAAGCAATAAAGGAGATAACTGGATAACAGACAAATAGGAGCAGAAGTTAGGAACATGTTTTAAATAAAATCTTACGCACTGCACTTAAAATTTAGACAGCTACAAAACTGCTATCTTTAAGGTCTCACTACTTATCTTTAGTTCTCCAAATTTCAATCTGACTTTTCTTACATGTAGGTGAAGACTGGTAATATTTATAAATAAATAGCTTATATCAAAATGTTATTTAAAACAAAAGCGATATCAACAAAATGTGTGGTTTTAGCTCTATAAATATTTCTACCTTTACATCGTCCAGTGAAAGCATCCCTAGTGTAGCCCTGGAAGCAGGTACATCTAAAGCTTCCGGCAGTGTTTTCACAATTCTGGTCAGCTTCGCACGGTTGATGAATCGAACATTCATCTAAATCTAAAAAGAAAAATGTTAAATTGAATGCTCTAAATCAGTTCTCCTCGTTAAGACTAGCATTAACTAAATTAAAAATGTTCATAGAATTAATTCAAAAAACTAATTGAATGAACTTTCATTGTGACACTGTCTACTTATTGAAATAACCTTATTTTTTCATGATGGATTTAAAGGCAATAGTAATGTAAGGTATTTTTCCCGCCTTCTTAGCATGCCTTTGTAGTGTGGTCGTCTGCACGCCGAGCACATATTCCAGAAATCTGTGGTTCGATTCACGGTGAAGGCGTTGCTAATTTTCCCCTTTTTCCTGTTTAAAAAATAACCTAATGACTCTGCAGTACTACACAGGATGTTAAGCAGTGCAGGTTTACCAGAATTTCCTTTAGCATTGGAAACATTTTCTATTCTTCAGAAGTTTCTGCATAAAAATAAATTTAATTTCTGTTCTTGGCATTTTATCATTCGTTTAATTGTATATTCAAAAGCTGGTAGATAATTATAAATATTCTTTTGAGCATAAAATATCCATTTCCGAATTCTTTCATTTTGTCCTACTCAGACGCTTTCCGTTTTAGTAGTTTGATTTCCCTCAACAGAAGGTACTGACTTAGAAGACTTCAAGAATTTATTATTTAGTTGTAGAGACATTAGGATTATTTTTGAAGAAGGAAAGATGAATAATGAGCAACGCCTTCGCCAGAAATCGGACCGCGAACCTCTACAATACGCGCCCAGCACGCAGACCACTACACCACGAAAGCACGCTAAGAAGGCGGGAGAAATACCTTATGCAATCCTCCTTTTAAAGGGAAACTGGGGTTTTTAAGGGCCCAGTCTCCAAATCCTGGGTGTGAAGAATTATCATCCACCACTCTTTTAGTTCGGGCGCCACTGTAGAGACACTAGGATTATTTTTGAAGAAGGAAAGATGAAAAAATGAGCAACGCCTTCGCTGCGAATCGAACCATAGACCTCTGGAATACGCGTCCAGGCAGACCACTACACCACGAAGGCACGCTAAGAAGTCGGGAGAAATACTTTATATAGTTAGTATTTTCTTTTATTTTTCTGTTTACTTTTGCGTATTTTACGTGCACAATTCTGAAGTATATAAATAAAAAATTAAAAAAAAAAAAGAGAGGGAAAGAGAGAGAAAAATTGAAATGTTTCAGATTTTAAATTACGTCCAAAGGGGCGTTTGTTTAACGTTTTGTGTGTTACCTTTATTTATCAAATATCACGTTCTTTGCACTTAAACCATAAAATTCAGTTCAATAGCAATGTCGCAAAGTAGTTTTAAAATGAGCATATCTTTAGAATTTCCGATACAGAGACTCAAGCGCTGGTGCTAAAAATGTTTTTTTTCTGTACTACGTTGCCATTGCTCGCTTTGAAATCCTTGAGTTTATTAATCAAAAATTCGTTAAAGTTTTACAAAATAGGAAATCGATAATAAATCCAAATTTCAAATTTCGTCTTCCACATGCCCATATTCGTAGGAAGATTACGTCGTTCAAAATTTGATTTGTACCGTTGTTTTATTACAAATGCGAGAAATATGCATTTATTTATGCAGATTTTTCATTATTTAGTTCTTTCTCTGGGCGATAATACTTTGTGGCAACAATTTGAGAAGTGATTCGCCGTTTGTTGTGAATCGACAAAACCGCAAAACGAAAACAATAGTTCTTCGGGGACAAATCCCTTTGGACTAAGAAAAGATTTAAAGACAGGCTAAGGTACAACTTGGCTAAATAATTAGGTGAATGACTGAACAGCGAAATCGGCCATTACTCCAGGAAAAGAGCAAAGTTCTTGAGCTTGTTACTGCTTGACCAGAGGAATTTTATTACTATCCCTAGTCAGGTACGAAATATTTGCTACCACTGCAGGTACTTATAAAAGAGCTAGATTTCTTGTACTTGATGTATAAGCGTGCTTTCAAGTTTGGTATTCTATGGTACGAGGCGTCAGGTCACGGCCGCAGAGACACAGGATCAAAGGATGCAGGATTGGGCCTCATATTAATATATCAACAATGAACATCAAATTTCCTTCATGGTACTATGTAGCTACAAACACCAACAGCTCAAACAGTAATCTTCACTAAGAATTGACTCTGTACAGATGATATCACGAAACACGTTATATTCAATGCTTGGTTCACGAAATAGTTGACAGACAACCAATTCTGAATAAAAGCGTTTAATTTGGCAGAGATCAGAATATATCCTTTCAATGACATTGCACAGGTCTATTTAATTGCTTACGCTGTTATGCAGGCAGTAGAGAAGGATCTCTTAAATGAAAAATATACATTTCTAATTTTTAAGTACTATTTAAATGATTTTTATTTAGAAAACGCTTCTCAGAATTAGCACTGAAAGCACATTTACAGCAATTGAAAGGAAAGTTCTCACTAGTATTTCAATATTTCGAACTTTGGTCTGGAGATTGTATTTGAGAATAAACTGAAAATATTCAAAAGAACTGTCCTTCCACATTCTTGTTTCGATTTCCCTAGCAATAATGGATATAAAACCCTGAAATACTTCTTTTTTCAACAAGGAATTCTTCTTTATTAATGCCACTACCATCAGTTAGTTGATATTTGTAATTTGCATTCAGAAGTTTCAAAGGAGTAAAAAAGTTATAACAAAAGAGCGTAGCTGTTGAAATCACGTGGGGATTTCTTTCAATGCTTTATCTAAAACGTTTTTCTTCTCAGTTGAATTCCGTATGGCAATTTAGAATATAGTTTGTAGAGTCATTAGGCTTTTTAAGCAGGTCAAAATAAATGATAAATGCGTAATGTTCACGCCGGAATTCGAATACAGGAACTCTCCTTTGTTAGCCGTACATGCTCTCCAGTTGTAGCGCGAAGGCATATGGTAAGGAAAGAGTAAATACTTACCAAAATTATTCTTCAGTTGCGTAGATGATCCACCTGACTAACCCCTATAAAATCATATTTCCCGCCCCTTTCCCCCCGGAGTGGACCGCTTCTTCCGCCTTTCTCTAGTTACGCCATGGTGTCAAAGTGTCTTTCAATTAGCAGTTTAGAAAGACGGAATGGTTTCGGGAACGACGTTTCTATGTAGTGTCTTCACCCCCCGGGGGGTCGACGCAGAGAATTCTGCGAAGCTACTGGCTAGGCAGTCTCGGCCACGGGGGTATAAAATTTATGAACTTGGTGGTTCTGAAAGCCCTGGAAAAGGTCACTTATTGGCCGGCCTCGGGGTCTGGCATATCCTGAGCGGTACGGCTCTATAGCCGGGGGGGTGATCCTCTTGGTTTGCTGGGTAATGACCCACTGCGACGGATTCGCCCATGCGACTGGCAGGTAGAAAATCAAACGACCAGTGCTGCCTTGTGAATTCCATGTGGTGCGCCGCTCCCCAGGAGGGGTAATAGTACAGGTTGAACCCCTACGATGTGCCTCAAAGGTGAGTGGACCTGTAATGTGATTAAGTTCACGAGGCAGGGAATGCCCAAATCTTGTTGTTGTTGTATGTCTTCAGAAAGATAGAATAGATAATCATAGTTAAATAATGAAGAATCTACGAGAATATATTTCTGGCTTTGGCAACAATAAGTGTTGCTAGGCGACTGCAGACGATTCCACTCGAAAGTTTGATTTGTTAATAATAACTTCTTCAGAATATATTTTTATTTTAGCGTGATTTGTGTTGTCTACAGTAAATTGAAAAATTATCTCGGGCAAAAATTAGAATTGATTAGTTAATATTTTCTTGCGATTATTTTTCCTAATTGTCAACGTTGATTATCAAGACAAGAGTGCTTTGATGAACTTAATTCGTTATACAGCGAAAAAGCACCATCCTACAGCACTGTAAAAAACTGGTATAACAAATTCAATCGTGCTTGACGTTCGCTCCAGGACGAATTCCGTGAAGGTTGTCCAAAATCGGTTGCTGTGCCAGAAAATATCGATGCTGTGGGTGAACTGATAAAGCAAGATCGTCGATTTGTTCGCGTTGGATAACGCGTAATCCGCTCAAAAGAAGGCTTGTGTCGATTGATGCAAGGAAATGTTGGAAAAACACGTTCAAGGTGCATCAAAAGCTGTTTACATCTACGCGAAACTACGCAGGTGACGAATCATGGATCTATGCACATAAGCACGAAACAAAACAGCAGTCGACTGTATGGGTCTTCCAAGGACAGCCAAATCCAACAAAAGTTGTTTGCAGAAGAAGCACATCGAAGCAAATGTTTGCCTGTTTCTTCGTCTTTACCGGTAAAGTGTCGAAAGTGGCTTTAGGGCAACGTAGACGGTCGATTCCGAATGGTACACAACCTTTTGTTTGCTAGACGTCATAGGAGAAATTCGAAAATAGCAGAAAAAGAGGCAAATCATTCTTCATCACGACAATGTGAGCTCTCATATATCGGCTCAAACAAAGGAATTTTTGACAGGACAAAACATCGTATTATGGGTCATCTACTGAACAGCCCTGATTTGGTACTCAATGACTTATTTTATTTCCGCACGCACATCAATAACAAATTACGTGGCCAGTGATTTGCAACAGCCGAAGAACCGGTTGATGCATTCAAAACGCATGTTTTGGAGTTACCTCAATGGGTGGATAAAGGTTTTCGAAAATTTATTAAACGCTTGGCAAAAGTGTATTGATCTTCATGGAGAATATTTTGAAAAACAATAATACAAATTTCGATCATACACATTTTTTTTTCATTATTAAGTCAGAAATATAAATAGCAACCCTCGTATATGTATGGTCCTCGGATTGTGGAAAAACGGCAGCACTTAGAGCAGCAGATTTTGAATACGTGTAGTCCAACTTGTGGACTTCAAATTTTAAAAAAATGTTTAATTTATGTCATATTTTGAATGAAATTAGTGAATTTTTAATTAACAAACCCAGCGATCTATGGCAACATCGTTTAAAATAAAAAAAAAATATTTCCGTCGCGCCAGACTGTTGTTATTTGGCAAAATGAAATTATCTTTCACTTGTAATCAAGAGGCTCAACTATTCAAAAGCAATATGCTGCTACTGCCCGAAAAAAAGTACTTTTATCTGCATGTTGCGCTTTTATCTATATGTTACATTATCTAATATGTAACGCTTTAGTGAACGTCAGCGTGTTGGCGTTCACTAAAGCGTAACATATTTAATGTTCAAATTTAATCAGTTCGTTACTTATTAACAAACCAAGCGAGAAAAAGCAATACTCGCAGTTCTTAAGAATATGTTTTCTTACTTTTTAAGCTGAATGGCTAAATATCTGCTAAAAAAATCTGATGTGTACACCACATGATTTTCTTGTACGGAATAGTAGATTATACGCATTTTTTCTTACATTTCATTTAAACTTATTGCATTGAATTATATCTATTTCGTCGATAGCGAATAAACCACAATAGAATAAATGCACTCTTTAAAATTTCACTATAATTGTTTACCCTAGCGACACTCTGGTGCTAGTTTCACTTAACAGCGCTACATTTCATTTATTGTATGTATAACTAATCCTAATAGTCTCTGGTATATTGGTGTCCAATCACATTAGGATTTTAAACAGTTCGTTTTGCAAATGCCTTGGGCCAATTGTGTATGTAAATATATCAAGGTGCGAACTCGAAGGCGAAGATACTTCGGCCGAAGAAAGGGGAGTCAAGGTTTTATGAAAACAATTAAGTTGCACGAGGAGAACGAGCGTGCCTAATATCTTACTAGTTGAAATTCACAATTAAATAATATGAGTTGAACATAGAATGCAATATAGTACGCTGAGTAGTAATAATGTGAATGACATAAATCATTGAATGATTAAATTTGTAACTGAGAGAATTTCATGTCGAGTCTCGAGCACATGTGAGTTAAATTGGAAAATTCCTACTATGAAAGGCAGTTGCCACACAACGATTTATAATACAATAAACAAATTATAATTCAGAATGCACGAAATGTATATCATCTGAAGAATTATCTAATCGTTGTCACATGTTCTATTCAAATACTATACTAAACCTAAAACGATGTGTAAAAGAAATTAAACAAATAAAAAAGAAACAGTTTTTCACAGACAATTCAGTTTTTCTCATTCAATTAATTTAGTTCTCCCTTCGCAACAAGGCAAAAATACATAAAAACCCAAAATATCTATATTAAAAATTAATATATTAAATATCTATATTAAATATAATCTATATTAAAATAAATCTTAAGCACTTATCCTTGAATAAACTCTAGATAAGATTAAGCATGATTTAATTCTCAATAATAAAAGAATGCATTATCTCTGTTGTTGCGAAGATTAGTTTCTCTAGATTGGCAACAAATCCACTGATCTCCTAAGGTTCAATGTAAACAAATATAGCCGCCATGGAAAAAAGAATAATTAGGCTTAGCCGCACTTAAACACTTTTAAATTGTTGATAATTCTAAAATTATTGCATGTAGATTTACTAAAGGCATAAAAACCTTAACCGGAAGAGAAGAACAACGAAATTCAGTGATTTTTAAAGCAAAAAATGTACAATTTACAAACATATAAGAATAAAGAAACTGAGGTCACTGAGCCGAGTAATAGAGTGGATATATATATACATATACTTATATACTTTTGGTGCGGTCGATTGCAACCAAAATAGTAGGTGCACATCTACGTGTCATAGTAGTTCTATATACAACATTGTAACGTTCTGAGGCTACTCGTTTTTGAGTTATGCGAGATACATACATACATACATGCGTACATCGTATGTATGTATCGTACATCGTATGTATGTATGTGTACGTACGTACGCACAGACGCCACGAAAAATTCTCTTCAGAATTCATTTTAAATCAGTTTTACTATTTTTTTTTTGGGGGGGGAGAGTCCTTTATTCTGTCCTTACGTAGATATGTTACGCCAAAAACATCGTTAAATTGCATTGGGATAGCGGTCAAAATGTATATTTTCGTTAAAATATGATATCCAAAATTTTTCGCGATTACAATACTTCCTTTTTACTTCGAACAAGGAAGTAAAAATGTATTTAAATGAAGAAATGTCTGATTAGTATTATTGAATATTTTCATGAAATTACACGAATTGGACTCATTGAAATCATTAGCTATTTTTTCCGTTTCATGATAATTATTTTAAGCGGCTAGTTTAGGAAAAAGCAATGAGTTTTTTCTGTAATGTTCAAAATCATATAAAGGAAATTTTTCTGACAACTTTTTAAAATTTAAAGGGGTTTACTTTTTCTACAACTAGGTTTGGAAGAATAAAGTTTTCACATAAGTACTTATTTTTTGCTTATTTTTGAGGCAAGAATTCTCTGAAGTCTTGGCTGAAAAATATGGATTTACCTTACCTATACATTCCTGTCTGCTTGAATCATAAGTAAAGCCTGTCCCACATTTCTGAACTGGCGGTGGCGCTCTCGTCTGACATTGAAAACTTCCTTGCGTGTTGACACAGTGCTGAGTTCTTCTGTCACAGTCATCTGTGCCTTCAACACACTCGTTCACATCTGGTAGTACAAATAATAGTAATAATAACAATAATAATAACTCAGTGCAAAATTATCATGGCTCTAATTAATTACAATTCTCACACACACAGTTCGGTTGTTGTTCAGTTTACGTGTATAGATGTCAATAAAATAATAAAATAATAATATAAGTTTGATAATGCGTCATTCATAAAACGTTTGGGACAGATATTGAATTACTCACAGATATTCACACTGTGAATAAAAATATTTAGGTTACATAAAAGTTGATAATTAAGTATGAAGCATTATTCAGATGTTCGCTGCTTAAAGAGACTTTACATCTTTAACTAGCTCCAAATACAAGATGTTTAGCATTAATTTCAGAAAAATTTAGAAAATAACCATTGTATCTATATTCACAATTTGTTTGGTTTATTTGGTTACAGCAAAGCAAGCGAGGGCTATCTCGCATAAGGGATGCCGTCTTGGTGAATTTTCTGAGGGAAGCTGGCATTTAACTACGTTACACATGGGGAAAACCATGAAAACGCCCATGCAACCAGCCCGTTCTTCTGAAGTTGAACCCAGGTTGAACTACCAGTGTTTAGCTACTAACCGCTTGGCTGCTCGTGGGTTGTTGTTTGTTTGTTTCAACAATTGTTTCAGAGTTATTAGGTTTGAAATTGATGCTTGTGAAAAATCTTAAGTACATTTGAAAGGAAATTGATAATTAAAGAAATATTTTGTTGACTCCGAATAATACAGCTCTCGAATTCTTCTTCTTCGTCACACTGATATGTTATGCAAATTTAATATAATTTGCAGACATTTATGTCAAACATTTGAATCTCATTACTTATCCGAACTATAGCCTTTTAATTAGTTTTATATAACTAAAAATAATCAAACGTTAATTAAAAAAACCTTTTAATGTTAATTTTTTGAATGCAAATTATACTAAAAAATTATAATTTGCATTTAGCTTATCTCCATAATTATAGTTCATTTGAATAAATTGTCTTGATGACATGCCAGTTTTTTCCCCATGTTTCGATTCTAAGACTCAAATTATGCGTAAATATTAAAATTTGTAAAATTTAGTGCGAAATTTACGGAGAAACTCAAAAATTTATCTTGTCGCATTTTTTTTTTCAGTTTGCGCCAAGAATAATTCACTTGGCGAACTTCTTAATTTATAGCAACCTATTTTCCTTTCCTTTTTTTTTTTAACTTTACACGAGAGGAAAAACTCATCGTTCAAACTTTCAAATAATTTTGAGAAAGTGTGTAAACCACATTTGTCGTGTAACAAATATACCAAATTTCACAACGCGCCAATATAATAAATTCACGTATATCGTAAGAAATTTTGAATAAAAAACTGTAATTTTTTGCAGGTATGCTTAGAAATACATCTACTATAAGATGATGGTAAACCTTTATTAGTTCAAAATTGCTTTTGAAAAATTTATAACAATTATTTAAAAATACAAATTTAAAAATAACATAAAGAATGGGTGAATTTATTCGGATGAACCTAAATTCGAATAGGAAGGAAGAATCAAATAAATTTAATAAAAAATGAGGTATAAATAAATATCTACCAAATTCAATTTACATAGAGGAGATAAAAGTTTGAAAGCTAATGTTTTAAAAACTACTCATGCGAGTTTTACAAAACTTGGTACTTTGGCATAATTTGGGTCGTAGAATCGAAAAATGGAAAAAAAAAATGGCATGTCATTTCAGAAAAAATCCTATTTTGTGTCAAAATACCTATATTAGAACAATGCTATATAAAAATCTAATACGTATCCTAAATCGCGCTTTCGAAAAACGCCAAGTTGAATTTCGTCAATCGGCCGAGTAGAACGGGAGATATAAAACTGTACTTTTTTTTTTTTTTTTTTTTTTTCGCAGTGTGCTTCATATCCAGATGTACAGCTTTTGAGGCTCTGTCTTACCTAGTTTTTTAGATATAATGCGCGCAAGTATGAAGAATAGTGGTTTTTAAGGTTTTTTTTTTTAAAAAACCTATTTAAAATTAAAACTTCACTTCTGGAAACTTTTCAATTTATTAAATTGAAAATTTAATTTCCAAATTATTTTATTGAAATTTTTAACTTTATTTCAATTCCATAATAATAAAATCATTTTGTTAGTGATAATGTTTTACTTACATAATATCTGATGATATTTAGGATGGTAAATGTAAAATAATTTGTGAATAATAAAAATATTAACGAACACAAAAATTATTAAATGTTTAAAAAACATAACACATCTAGTACTTGCATTAATTGTAGTAAAAATGTAGCAGAATATTCTCAAACTTAGCTGCACATAATACGTCTGAGAAGTTCTCAAATAAATTACTGAAATTTTATATGATGTAATAAGATTTATACAAATTTCTATAAAATGCTTTCACAAAAACAATTCGAAACTTTTCAGTTTCATTTTTATTGTTTTTTTATAGTTTCTTTTATTGCTTCTTCAATTGTTTCTAATTTTGAAGTATTGTGTACATTTCTAATACTTCGAATAACCAAATTAAATTCTGTAGCTGTTTTTCAGCTTCGATTATTCGCTGTAATTCCCATTATTTTTCAATTTCTGAAGAATATTTCCTACGTTATAATCCAAATTTTGCATAATTTTCAAGCTTCTTTTATTTTATAATCGAATGCTACTATCCTAAATGCATTTCATTACACCTAATTCCTTCCGTATCTGCAACTAACTCACAACACCTAAGATGGTATTTTAAAGACTATTTTAAAACACTTGCCCTGCATAAGTGTGAATTATTTGTGCTATTTAGAATAAAAAATTCTGCGATGTTTTACGCCAGATAATAAATTTTTACGAATGACTTACCATCGCACTTGTTGCGGAACTGACTCCATCTATAACCATGAGGACAACTTGCCTTAGTGACACAACGATAGCTCCCAACGGCATTTACGCAGTTCTGTGTAGCAGGATTGCAAGCATGGCTACCTTCCAGACATTCATCTAGATCTGAATGGGACGTATCAGAGTTTTAGAATAACATTACTTAGCAATCGAATAAGCTATCGGATAAGTGATATAACAGAAAATGCTTCCAGCAGAATCAGGAATTATACGGCAATAATTGTCTTTTACATAAATTTTTTACTCCTCTATAGGCTTTAATGCCCTTTTAGCACTCATATGATGATCTATGAGATAGAAAATGTATAACTCAAGTAAGCTTGCTCAAAAATAAGTAACTGATTAGACATATATAATAATCATATCAAATCAGAAAATCTCAACAAATTATAAATGATATTAATAATGTGTTCTAATCGGAAATCCGAATCAAGTATGTCATAGTGATTCTGTCAATCACAGGAAAATATTTTGGAAATATTTATGCATTGGTTGTTTGGTGATTCATTAAATGATTTTGACAAAGCACTCGAGGGATGTTTACCTAAGAAGAAATTAGCACCTAATGGCGTTATACACAACAAAATCCATAAAAACGCTCTAACGCCAATTCCTTTGCTGGGATTAGAAGCCAAGCAGAGCTACCAATATTTAGCGATTTTATCCACTCAGCCAATGGTAGGCCACTTATGCTACAATGACAAATTAATCATACAATACATAAAATTTCTGTATGTAGTTATATTGTTTACTTTCTTTTAAAATATTTCCTTTCTTTCTCGAATAATAAAGGCTACCACATACAATATATACATTTTACATATTTTTGATCGCAAAACGTTCCATGCTTTATAAAAATGGATGGAATATCTCTCCGTTTGTGGGGATATGTCGATCATCTGGGCTTTATGAATAAAAAGAGAAACAAATGACATCTAACCTTTGGAAGCAGAAGGTACATCAAAATATATTCGTATGAAAAATATTAATACTTTATATTTACACGTTTTCTTTTAGGAATATATATTTATTTGTGGCTAATCATATACAACTTACAATAAGTAGATTCGACGACACCTCGTAAAAGACATTTGACTATGAAAAGTGTTTTCCATTTTCCAAATAAAAGTCACAATATGATGGTTTATATTTCGGAAATCTTTATTATTACTATTAACATTACCATGATTAACTTAGCATTACTATCGGTAGCAGACATTCTATATGAAGAACGGTGTTGATAGTCATACTGACGCACGCATTACGAAACTGATTTCACTGATCACAAACTGCTTTGGGTATAGGTAAAGGGAGAGGGGGAAGCACACGAAAAATTAATCATTGGCCGTACAGGTACAGTTCATCAACACTAACCGTGCCATTCTGCCCCCATTTTGAAGAGGAACACTTCCCAGGGTTTCCCACTCCTCTTCTTCTACAATAGCCTATCGAAAAGACTTTCCGCTCGACGTGTGTTTTGAGCAGCCCCTTTTGACACAGATACTACATGCTTAAATATACTCATGTCTTCTTCGAAAATCGAACTTAGGCCAATCTGTATAACAGTCAGCACTAAACACTGTACTTGGTGGATTTGACTTTTTTGCTTAACCCAGACTCTGTGAAACCCTGGCTGTCCCCCCCGGGTTGACCGGGGGGTTAGGCCTCCACCGACGAAATCTAGGGATTGGGTCATTTAACTGTGTATGACAGTCTCGAGTTGTCGGTCTGGGTGACCCTTCTCCTAGTGTACTGTACTAACCACTGTATTGGAGGAGTGGCGCTTTTGGACATGGTATATCTTTTTCCAGACGATAATGTTTAAAACGTTTGCCACGCATATCGCGTCATGCATGAGAGAACGCCGTGAAATGACGTTACGCCGCCGTTGAACTGGTATTTAAAAGGCTGCATCTTGCACCTACCGGTAGTCTTCGTATGGTGGCCATGTATTCCGTTCGTTACTACTGCGACATGTACTTGATGTACGGCCGATGTAATGGAAATGCTTTACAAACTGCTAGGGAGTGTGCCCGTAGATATCCGTCCCGCCGTCCTCCCGATGTCAACGTCATCCGTAGGCTGGACGACAGACTACGAATTAAGGGAAGCGTCTTGCCAGCACCCAATCTTCACGATATTGGAAGACCGCGGAGCGGCCTGACGGTAGCACAGGCGGATGCAATACTGCAGCAGGTAGAAGAGAAGCCCGAGGTAAGCACATGCACATTAGCCCGTGAGATGACTTCGAGTAAAAGTACTGCGCACAGTCTTGTGCGGTCTGAGAGGTTACACCCATTTCAGTCCACAACCGTGCAAGGTTTGAAACCAGATGACTTTCAGAAACGCGTGGCCTTCTCTGAATGGCTGTTGCAGCAACAGAACACAGATAATGGTTTCATTACATATATCCTGTAGACCAATGAATCATGTTTCACTCGTGATGGGGTATTCAACCATCACAACAGCCATATGTGGTCCCAGGTCAATCCGCATGCAGTCCGGCCGCAGAAACATCAGGAACGTTGTTCTCTTAACGTGTGGGCCGGCATATTCGGGGATCGCTTGCTTGGACCATATCTGTTGCCTGACCGGCTCTCGGAACAGTCGTACTTGGTGTTTCCTCAATGAGGTCTTAACCGAGTTCCTCGATGACATAACATTAGCGGCAATGCAGGGACTTTGGTTCCAGCATGATGGGGCTCCGGCGCATTTCTGTGCTCCTGTATGTGGTTGGCTGGATATGGAATACCTCAACCGCTGAATAGGACGTGGGGGTCTGGTTATATGGCCGCCATGTTCTCCAGATCTTACACCGTTCGATTTTTTCCTATGGGGCCATCTCAAGGAACTGGTGTATCGAGACGTAGTGACAACACCAATGAACTTAGTTGCTCGTCTGCATGCTGCTTGTACTTCGGTGGACCCCGCGATGCTGCAACGTGTGATGATAGCCATTCCACGTCATGCTCAAGCCTACCTCGACATGCACGGCGGACACTTTGAATATAGGATTTAAATTGTGCATATACTGCTGTTGATATGTTCAATAAAGTGTTTTTTCTTGCACAGGCAATGACGTCATACTCTGTTTTTCGTATTTTTTCTCGTAAACTATGGATCGTACAGGAACGCTTCTTTGGTCAGTTTTTATGTACTCCCAACGAGGAATCTAGCTGTTCAGAGTTTATGCGGTCGTTTTGGGACACCCTGTATATCTCAAATCCCGTTACGTTTGATACAAAATTTCTGTTGCCCTGAAGTGATGTAACGAAAGTTTTTGTTTATGTGTCTCCAAAATGTTAAATTTCAATGGAATAACGAGCATATTTCAATACAGTGTTTCTCAACAAAATCTCCAATATACTTACAATATGGGTAATTGTGACTACATTGCATATCACATGAGGTAATTGCAGAGAAGGTGAAAAATAATTTTGAAATTTGCATATTGTTGTAAATACCATTGAACCGATATTAATTAATTTTTTTTCATTGTGGTAGTAGAAAGTAACCAAGAATGCTTAGTGTTAATACCTCTGAAACGAGCTTAGATAGCCCCTCATTACGAAGTATGAAAGTCAGTGATATAAACGCAAAGATGGTGTGAGTGATAGAACCACGTACTGCAGTGCATCCCAGGACCATCGGGAGTTGGCCTCGCAAGCTGGTGAACCCTGAATATGTGATTTACAGTTCCAGAAAGGCTTGTTCTACAAAACTGGTGTTAGAGGAAAATGGGAAACTGATACGGAACATATTCACTAGAACTCCCAAAATATCTCAACACGGCAGAACTTACGTATGAGTAGTCTAGCCTGTTACACCTTTCAAAATGTTTTGCAAAAGTTCAGTTTTCAGCCTTAGAAGCTACATAATTGACAGGAACTGTCGATGACAGACAATTTGCATAGTATAGAGTATGGTGAAATCCCGTTGGATTTGCACAAAAATTCGCGTCAACTATTCAGCAACGTCATTTGGAGTGATGAAGCTGCCTTCCATGCGCCATCCTATGTGAACGGGCACATTGTCTCTGCTGGGCACAAAAGAGATCCAAAGCTCACAGTTGAGAAAGAGTACCATTGTCCGAAGTTTACAGTGAACTTCCAATCGGATGGTGAAAAGCTGTTCATTCTTGAAGACATCATGGCAGGAAAATAGTACTTAGATATTATGTGGAATTATTTTTACCTTATTTGTAGCTATCTGCAGTAACATCAACAATTTTATTTTCATGTAAAATCATACGCCCCGCCAGTTTCATTTTACAATGATGTTTTTTTTACGGTCAAGGCACACAGGGTTTTCCAGGGTAATGATAGGGCAGATACTTTAACCAAGGAGGCCACACATGCTGTCGTGATTATGAGATAGATCGATGTTCCAGGTTCGAGACAAAAGGTTATTTCTATAATGTTTAAAAATATACTCGAATCTTGGAATACATCTTAGATGCAGTCTAACAGAAATAAATATCTTTTAAATTTTTTTAAAGGAAGAAGAAAATGAAAATCATGAATGATATCAACTTCAATCAGCTTGTCACGGGTCATAGCTGCTTACCACGATATTTATCAAGATTTGATGTCCAGGATGACCTATTCTGAAAAGCTTGTAATGCAGTAAGTGATAATATGCGTTTTCTGGAATCATGCGAACTAACTGCTGGTCTCCGAGAAGATTTTGAAAGTACCAGCGAACGTGATTATTACTCTAGGAGAAATATAAAAATCGCACAGGATATTATGGGATAATAAGGATAGAATCAGAATTCAAAGTTAGGGCTCTCTTACCCCTTTTTTATGTGTGTGGTGTGTGAGTGTAATACGTCCGTGCTTACAAGCTTACAATTATGTGTTTTATTTTATTTTCTCATTATTTTTTTGTAACTTTCGTTCTCCCCTCTCCCTCTTCAATTCTCTCTCGGTTGCAACCCATTTTTGCCTATAAAGTAAGTGAATTTATATTCACTAGGCGGCCCCGAGTGCGCCCAGATTCCAACTAACTAACGCCACCTCATTTTTCATCCACGGATTATCCTTAACTGGTTTAATGAAAGTGTCTTGGACATTAATTGAGGTTTCGTGATCTGCATGAGTGGCCAGTATGGAACTTCACTCTATGACGTTTTACTCTGTGGAGGTTTATCATACCAAGCCACTAACTGTAGACCAACTGAAAGCTCGCACGTGTCATGTCCTCTCCAAGGTACCACCCACCCTATCAGTGGCCAAGTGGTTAAGACCTCTGATACTGGCTGTTCCACCTGGGTTCGATTCCAAGCGAATGGGGTGGTTTTCTTAGTTGATTTTGAGGTGTAACATGAATTCCACTCATTTCCTTTACAATATCTCCACAAAGGCATCGATGCACTCAGGTAGATATTCCTTTCGTGCTTTGCCATATTCGAATAACCTAACCTCACATAACCAACATACTACTAGAATTTATCGGTGAAAATTATTCTCAGCTGATTAGAGAAATTTGTGAATTGTGCCTTTGTGAAGTTTTAATTCCAGAGTAAAAGGACCAAGAACTACCATCAAAGGTACTAACTTTTTTTCAACAAACATTTACTTTCCACCCTCCATATATTTTTAGTCTCTTGTCTTATATCATCATATGAGTACAATCCCTTACCGTTCTAAACACAAACTCTGACTTACTTGAAAAGATTTCAAATGCACTGTAGTAATCCAGACAACTTTCACAATAATTTAATTTGCAATCACTTATTTTTCTTCATAATTTCTTACCTTTATTTCCTACACATTGAAATACAAGGATTAAATAAAATACCGTATTCAAATAGCTTTACATTGGGAAATTATTCCTTTTTGTAATTTCTGAATTATTTTTCTAAAACAAATCTAAAGAATGAGGCAAGGAACACGGAAACACGGAAGGAAGGAATAACATTAGCTAAGACTTTCACGATTTAAAAAACGAAAAATATGAATCGACTAGAGAGCAAAACAAACAGGAAAAAAAAAATGTCACAAACATAGGGTTAAGCAGTATTTATGAAGATTCTCCACCTGTAAAAGAATAAAACTCGTTAGTTTTTCGATACACAGAGGGTACAAAATTTCTCGTATTTTTGTTATTTAATATAATTGAGCAAAGTGTAAGTTTCCATTTCTGAAACAGGCATAAATTAGGTCCCTTAAAAACCCAAGTCGCCCATTAAAAGGGGAAGTATATAAGGTATAAGGTATTCTCTCCCTTCCTAGCGTGCCTTCGTGCTGTAGTGGTTCTGCACGCTGGGCCGGTATTCCAGACATCCGTGGTTCGATTCCCGGCGAAGGCAATTGCTAATTTTTCATCTCTCCGGCTTCCAAAAATACCTAATGTTTTATGGTTATTTACATGTCTATTTATGCAACGATA